GGCCGCCATCTTGGCTGACAGTTAATTTGCATATACTCACTGATTAGCCAATGAAAAGGGTAGTGGTCGTACGCTCATTACCATGTTTCTCTTTTATTAGTGTAGATGAGTGAAATCATATGGTTCTTAGCTTTGCTGACTGATTTATTTCACTTAGCATAATATTCTCAAGGTCCACCCATGTTGTTGCAAATGGCACTATTTCATGTTTTCTTATGGCTAAGTAGTATTCCATAGTATATATGCACCATATCTTCTTTATCCAATCACGTATCAAAGGACACTTTGGTTGTTTCCATGTCTTGGCCACCATGAATGATGCTGCAATGAACATAGGAATGCATATATCTTTGCAAGTAAGTAAATGTTTTCAAGTTTTTGGGTAGAAACCCAGAAGATGGATGGTGGGTTATATGGTAACTCTATTCTTAATTTTTTCTGAACTGCCATACCATTTTCCATAGTAACTATACCAGTTTACATTCCCACCAACAGAGAATGAGGGTTCCTTTTTCTTCACAACTTGTCCAACACTTGTTTTTATCTGTCTTGTGGAAAATAGCCATTCTAACATGTGTGAGATAGTATCTCATTGTAATTTTGATTTGCATGTCCCTAATAGCTCCTGAAATTGAGCATCTTTTCATATGTCTGTTGGCCATTTGTATGAGTTGTATGAGCTCTTTATATATTTTGGATATTAACCCTTTGTCAGAGCTGTTGTTTGCAAATATTATCTCCCATTCAGTTGGTTGTCTTTTTGTAGTTTATTTTCTGTGCAGAAACTTTTTAGTTTGATGTAGTCCCATTCATTTATTCTTGCCTTTACTCCCCTTGTCTTTGGGGTCAAACGCATAAAATGTTCTCTATGACCAAGGTACATACAGTACCTATGTTTTCTTCAATGTAATTTATTGTTTCAGATCTTATATTTAGGTCTTTGATCCATATTTAATTAATTTTTGTTTGTGGGGACAAACTGTAATCTAGTTTCATTCTTTTGCATGTTGTGTTTCAATTTTTCCCAATACCTTTTTTTTTCTCCATTGTGCATTTTTAATGCCTTTGTCAAAAATTATTTGCCCAAATACATGTGGTTTTATTTCTGGCCTTTTAATTCTGTTCAATTGGTCTGTGTGTATGCTTTTTCTGCCAATACTATGCTATTTTGAATATCATAGTTCTGTAGTATAATATGAAGTCCAGTAGTGTGATTCCTTCAGCTTTGTTCTTTTTTCTTAGGATTTCTTTGGCTCTTTGGCATCTTTTGTGGTTCCATACAAATCGGATGATTTTTAAAATTTTTATCTTTATTGTTGAAAGAATTATAGAAGTCCCCTTTTTTCCCCATTGACTACCTCCACCCCACCCCAGCCCACTCCATCTGATGCTTTTTGTTGTTGTTGTTGTTCAAATTCTTTAAAAAAATGATATTGGGATTTTGAAGGGGATTGCATTAAAACTGTATGTTGCTTTGGGTAATATGGCCATTTTAACTATGTTGATTCTTTCAATCCATGAAAATGGAATATCTTTCCATTTTGTTGTGTCTTTTTCAATCTCTTTTAATAATGCTTTGTAGTTTTCAGTATATAGGTCCTTCACCTCCATTGTTAAGTTTATTCCTAGTTATTTTATTCTTTCCATTGTGATTGCAAAGGGAATTCTTTTATTCCATTTCTTTTTCTGAAATTTTATTGTTAGTATATGGGAAAGCAGTGGATTTTTGTACTTTGGTTTTGTATCCTGCAACTTTACTGCTTACTTACTGTTTCTAATAGTTTTTTGGGGGAGTCTTTAGCATTTCCTATTTACAGAACTTGTCATCCGCAAACAGTGAGTTCTACTTTTTCATTCCAAATTTGGATGCCTTTTATTTCTTTCTCTTGCCTGATTGCTTTGGCTGGGACTTCCAGAAATATGTTGAATAAGAGTGGTGAGAGTAGGCATCCTTGTTGTATTACTGATTTTAGAGAAAAAGTTTTCTGTTTTCACCATTGAATATATTAGCTGAGGGTGTCTCATATATGACCTTTATTATGTTGAGGTACTTTCCTTCTATACTCATTTTATTAAGTGTTTTAATCATAAATGGATATTGTATTTTATCAAATGCTTTTTCTGCATTTATTGATAAGATCATATAATTTTAATCCTTTGTTTTGTTAATGTGGTCTATCACATTGACCAATTTGCGCATGTTGAACATCCTTGTGCCCCTGGAATGAACTTGATCGTGATGTATTCTTTTTTAAATTAATTGATGTATTCGATTTGTAGTATTTTGTTGAGGATTTTTGCATCTGTACTCATCAGAGATATTGATCTGTAGTTTTCTTTCTTTATGTTATCGATGCCAGATTTTGGTATCAGGGTTATGTTGGCCTCACAAAATGTGTTAGGAAGTATTACCTCTTCTTCAATTTTTTGGAAGAGTTTGAGAAGGATAGGTATCAAATTTCTTTGAATTTTTGGCAGAATTCACTAATGAAGCCAGCTTTTGGGGAGGTTTTTGATGGTTGTTTCAATTTCCTCACTGTTGATCGGTTTATTTAGATTTTCTGATTCTTCATAATTCAATCAAGAAGGGTTATATATTTCTAGGACCTTATTCATTTCTTCTAGGTTATTGAATTTGTTGGCACAGAATCTTTCATAATATTCTAGTATGAGTTTTTGTATATCTGTGATGTCTGTGGTAACTTCTCTTTTGTTTCTCATTTTGTTTGAGTCTTTTCTCTTTTTCCCTTTAGTGAGTCTAACCAGGGGTTTTTCAATTTTATTAATCTTTTCAAAGAACCAACACTTTTCTGTATTAATTGTTGTATAGACTTTTTGTTCTCTATTTCATTGAATTATGCTCTAATTTTTATTATTTCCTTTCTTCTGACTTTGGGTTGCTTTTGTTCTTCTTTTTCTAGTTTCTTTAAGATGTTAGGTTGTTTATTTGGGATTTCTCATGTTTCTTGAGATAGTCCTGTAATGATATAAATTTTCCTCTTATTACTGCTTTTGATGCATCCCAGAAGTTTTGATATGTTGTATTGTCATTCTCATTTGTCTCTGTATATTTTCTGATCTCACCTTTTATCTTTCTTTGACCCAGTCATTTTTTAGCAGTATGTTGTTTCATTTCCACATATTTGTGGGTTTCTTTACTTCCTTTTTGCAGTTGATTTCTAATTTCAGGGCATGTGGTCAGAGAAAATGCTTGGTATAATTTCAATCTTCTTGAATTTGTTGAGGCTAGTTTTGTGACTTGAGAATGTTCCATGTGCATTGGAGAAGAATGTATAATCTGATGTTCTGGGATGAAAGGTTCCATAAATGCCAATTATGTCAATTTGGTCTAATGTGTCACTTAAGGTCGATATTTCTTTATTGATTTTCTGTTTGGATAAGCTGTCTAGAGCTGTCAATGGAGTATCAAGGTCCCCAACTATGACCGTGTTTTTATCAGTTTATCCCTTTACTTCTGTTTTATATATTTATGTAATTATATAAATTTATAAATTTGGGGGTTCCCTGTTTTGGTGCATATATATTGAGAAGTGTTATGTCTTATTGATGTAGTGTCCCAATATCATTATAAAAATGTCCATCTTTGTCTCTTATTATCTTTGTTACCTTGAAATCTATTGTACCAGATATAAGTATGGCTACACCTGCTTTTCTGTGGATGCATTAGTTTGGAGAATCATTTTCCACCCTTTCACTTTGTCTGTCTTTGTCTTTGCCACTTATATGTGTCTCCTGAGGGCAGCAGATGGTTGGGTTTTGTATTTTGATCCAGTCTGCTACTCTGTGCCTTTTTATTGGTGAATTCAGTCCATTTACAGGTAGGGTAATTATTGATGTGTAAGGATTTCCTATAGCCATTTTATATTTTGTTTTCTAGGAGCTCTGTGCCTCCATTGGTTCTTTTCCTTGTGTTTCTGTCTTTTTTTGTTTGTTTGTTTGTTTTTGGGGTTTTTTTGGGGGGAGGGGGTTGGTGGTATTCCATATTTCTTTCCTCTGTTCCCTCTTCTTTTAAGTTATGTGTCTCAGTTTTGAATTTTTGTGTGTAGTTTTACCATTAGGTTTATTAAAAAGGAAGTTTCATATATAAAGTCGTTCTTTTTCTTTTGAATGCATTTGATCTCCACCCTCCTTTGCAAATTCAGAGTGTTCCCCCTCCCCTTTTATGTTTTTGTTGTCACAGATTATCCCTGTTTATGCTGTAAGTTTGTTGGTGATCTTAATCATAGTTTTGTGACCTTTTGTTCTTTGTTTCAAGTAGAATAGCCCCCCTGAGTATTTCCTACAATGGAGGTTTTCTGGTGATAAATGCCCTCAGCTTCTGTATCTCCATAGCTTTGAAATTGGATCATTTTGTGGACATAAGTGAAAATAACATAAAAAACACTATTTAATATTCTTTCTCTCTCCTTTGTCATATACTAGTATATCGTCTCACACAATATTAGCTACATCATCTCACACAATAGTAAGTGCCTAGAATTCTCAATATTATTAACTTATGTCGATATACCTTTTTAAATGCTTATATTACTTTGCACATACACTAGAGAGGCTAAAGTCATATGACAGAGCTGAAAGGGTCTTTAAAGACCACCTGGTTGAGCCTTGGCTTCAGCCCCCTCATTTTATAGATAAAAAAAATCACTGAGGCTCAAGGAGTCAAGTGCCTTTCCTAAGATCACACAGCTGGGCAGGCAGAGTTGGCACTAGCACTTAGCTCTCAATCCAAGGACTTTTCCACTTCATTTCTACAAAATATCATAAATGTGGATGTCAGTATATTTCATTAATTAAAATTAGCAACAAATACAAAAGGCCATGGTTCTTCTCTCAATATAAATTGGAAGAGGTCCTCTTAGGGAATAATGATTTTTTCCTGTGTATTAGCCAGCAGTTGACCACTTATGTGATGTGTGCAGGCTGAAATTTACCCAGATTTATAACATTTAAGTAGATTAGCACTTCATTTTAAGATGATCTCCTAGGGTCTACCATTACTAGGCTACTTGTCCTCTCTAGCTAGACTGTAACTTAAACCTTTCAATAGAAATGAGATAGAAAGAATTTCAGTCTATTGAGTCTCTATCACATATCATTCAAGTATTATCCAGATATTTTTTATAATGACTGTAGCCCTCCAAAGCCCTGTTTGATACCCTAACAGTCCTGTACCCTGGAAATGATATAGCTTGTGTGGTAAAAGGGGTGAGCATAGGAGTTTGCCAGCAATGTCCAGACAAGAAACATTGTAGGACAGTTTCAGAAAATGGAGGGTAAATTTTTATCTCTTTTAGATCTTCACTGGGGCAGGAATTGTGGGTCCATGGGTCATTCAATAGGATTCTTTTTACCTTATTCATGATATACAGGGATGATTTTCTAATGCCTTTGCACACATACATGTGTATTTATGGATATCACGACAGTAAACAAGCAGGATTTCTAACAAAGAAGTTTTAAGTATAGATCTGTGGGTATTTCACCTTCCCCTCCCTCATTGCAGACATGCAATCTTTCTCTTTAGAATGGGTATGTGGTTGGCAGTGCATGGCTTTAGAGCAGTAAGTCATTCCTCCAATCTGTCTATCCATTTTCTTCCCAAGAGAAGAAAAATCAATGATTATGTAGGGGCTCTTGAGCCCCATGGGAAGGATTTTTCCCACTGGTTTTCTATAATAGAAGAATAATAACACATGTCCATTTAGTGATTGCACAAATTTAAGCTATCATTTCTCTTTTAATCGAGCATATTTCTGATCTTAGTTGCCATCCTTTTCCTCAAACTTTTTGCTTACTCATTATTTACTGAATTATTGCTTAATATGTTCCGGTACTTTTCTAGGCATATTAAAATGAAGACATATGGTACCTGTCTTCAAGCAACCAATTGTCTTATAAAAGTGGCAGCTGGTAAACAAATATTTGTCTCTGTATCCCTAGTATAAACAACCCAAACTCAAAAAGGCTGACAGCTTCAGTGCCTCTCACATTGCTCTCTGTGCTGTGTTCCACTTCTGGTCCATTGAAGTGTTTATCTTGTTTTAAAACAGCTATGCCTTTTAAATGTTCTCTTTATGAGAACATGAAACTCAAACTAATTGAGATAAGAAGTCCCAACATTTTCCCTGGCTTTAAAATATTTTTAAAATATGGAACTCAACATGAGCCTCTTGGTTTTAAAAGTATTTTATAAAAAATTTTTTCACTGTTTATTAGAAAAATTTTATACAAAAATGGCATAATGAACTTCCATGTACTCATTACATAGCTGTAATTATAACCAATCTGCTAATCTAGTTTCACCTATACCCACCCCAACACTTTTTTTCTTTTAATGGAAAGTGCTGGTAACAATTTAAAATAGGGTTTTAAAAAAATCAATTTATAATTAATGAGGCATATAAGGGTGAATGCTAAAATAATTATAATATAAGTATATTTTATATACCCTCTTATATTTACCATAAACACTTTATACCTTTAATAGAAAAAAAAATGGATTAAAAAAACAAACACACGTGCACTGATGGTGGGAATGCAGACTGATGCAGCCACTGTGGAGAACAGTATGGCGTTTCCTCCAAAACCTAAAAATGGAACTCCCATTTGACCCAGTGATCCCACTTCTAGGAATATATCCCAAGAAACTAGAAACACAAATCAGAAAGGATATATGTACCCCTATGTTCATAGCAGCACAATTCACCATAGCTAAGATTTGGAAACAGCCTAAGTGCCCATCAGTAGATGAGAGGATTATAAAACTTTGGTACATCTACACAATGGAATACTATGCTGCAGTAAAAAAAAAAAAAAAAAAAA